GGTTTCTAAGGTTATTCTTCTACATATTAAAAAAGTTGTTAAACATCTGAATGGTGCACTACTGCTACTAGTGGTGAGAAAGTGAATCGCACCTTATTCAAAATCAATGCAGTCCCACGGCCCTCTGCGGCCCAAAGTTAAAAACTGTTGTTCTTTGGAGGCCCTCAGGGTGGCGCTCGTGGCCCACAATTGGGCCGTGGCCCATGGGTTAAGAATCTTTGGCTTATAGGCATGCAAGTACAACCCAAAAGCACGTTATTTTCTTTTCCAGGTACAGTGGAAAGGAAGACAACACCAACATGCTGATCCTTGATATCACCTTGCTTTCTGGATTCATCCCAGACTCTCAGTCTTTGAAGGAAGTGAGTAACTCCAGTATTTTTCACCTGAATTGAGAAGTTTAAAGTATGTACATATGAGCTCATCATGAGGGTGATACTAAAACAGATTGATGTATCTACTTGTAGCTTGAAAGTGCTCTGCTGGTGAATCGTGTTGAACAAAAGGATGGTCACGTTCTGGTGTACTTGGAAGGGGTAAGAGAAATGGAGAATGGAGTAATGTACATAATACCACATGAATTATTTACTAAGTGTGCTCTGTTTGTGTCTTCTGCTCAGCTTATGAAGGATGTACCAGTCAACCTCAGTTTGGTACTTTTACAGCAGATCCCAGTGCACAATCTAAAACCAGCTGTGATTGCCCTCTATGACTACTACCAGCCAAGTAAATCCTCTAATAGAAAGAACAAAACACATTGGACTCTGACTTGGACACCTATAAAACATTTATCACATTGTTTCTTTTTAGGTGACCGAGCTGAGAGAGAATATACAGCAATGTGACTGATCAAGGTAACAAATCACAACAGCTTTACAAAAAATACAACTTGATTGATGAAGTCTTTATTGTCATTGTACGGAGCACAAGGAAATTACATTTAAGAACACCCATTTCAAGAAGACACACATGACAAAAACATGGGGGAACAGGTGTACAGGTCATGCAGCAACCAGCAGGGGTTGAGCTACCTTTAAA